GAACTGACTGGACAGATAATTCATTTATTGATTGATCTCTTGGTAAATATGGAATCATCTGCATGGAGGATCTGATTCATGAGATCTATACTGTTGGAAAATACTTCAAAGAGGCAAATAACTTCCTGTGGCCATTCAAGTTATCATCTCCACGAGGTGGAACGAAGAAAAAGACCACCCATTTTGTGGGAGGTGGAGATGCTGGAAGTAGGGAAGACCAGATTGGCAGGCCTATTAGAAGGATAAACTAAGGTATCTACCATGGTGCTCTTATGATTTGGTCAGTTAATAAAGTATCTCTTTCCAAATTTAAAGAAAAAGAAGGTACAGAACAGGAACTATAGAAGGTTTTGAAGAAAATAAGCATTGAACTGAAGAAGGAAGTGTGTCACTTGTGTGGCTGATCTGGTCTTCAAGTGCAAGATGAGGCAACCATCTCGACTATTTTGAAGAACAAAGATGCCATCAAAGGAGCTGTTGTCATAAGAGCACAGGACACAATCAGAGAACACAAGTACTGGGAGAGGTGAAAATCTTTTGTTAGCGTGGGTGAAAGAGAAACAGCTGGCAGGTAATAGAGTCAGTCAAACTATGATCTGTGAAAAATCCAGAAAATGATTTACTTCAAGAAAATCCCTCTGCATGTGCATCAAGTGATGAATGTAAAGCCAGTGAAGGATAGCTTGATAAGTTCTGCAGAAGTGACATCCGTAGTCTAATAAGACAGGATGAGGTGGCAGTTTTGACCAGGCCACTGCAAGAAAGAATTGCAGAATCTATGAAGGCAGAAGGATACATCATTCAACAACTGTTCCACTCCAATAAAACAGGACTCTTCTGGAAGAAGATGGTGAACAAAACCCGCATCACACAAGGGCTAAAAACTGACTGGTAGGGCACAAGCCCATGAAGGACCTGTTACTACATGTGAATGCAAGAACTCATCTGAAGGTTCGGCCTCTGCTGCTGGACCATTCCAAGGCCCTCCTACGTTCAAGGAATGAGACCAGGCTGACTGCCATGTGGAGGGACAATGAGAAAGATTAGGTCATGAGGCACTGCTTCATGGACTGGCTGAATGAGGTGTTCCCACCCACCACTAAGAAATCCTTTGCTGACAACCAGCCCCTGAAAGATGCCTTCTTCTGATGAACAATTCCCCAGCACATCCTCCAGTCTGCTGCATGACATGGATGCTGAACAATGCATCTCAAAGGTCAAGGCCCTCAATGTGACACCCCTTCTGCATCCTATGATCCCAGAAAGCCACCTGCAACTTCAAGAAGCTCTATCCTAAGTTGCTCTTTATCACCTTGAGACAGCACTGAGAAACCTTTCGAATCAACCACTTGGTTTCTCTAGTAACCTATGGATCTGTCCCAGACCTAAGTGACTGTCATGAGCCGTGGCTGTCATGCAGAAACAGCACTCTCCAGGTTAACAGTCATGTTAGAGGCCCATAGTGGCCTGTGACACTGTGACATCTTTGAAGGCAAGACAAGACCACAGATGAGGACAGTGACTCTCACTCAGATTCCATGGCCATGACTGCCATTCTTAGAAGCAAGGCAGATCTCTCACTGAGCATGGATTCACTGCTGGTTGTCTTTATTCTGTTCTTGCCATGCCTTGCTCACATTCCCACCTGTGTCTTGGCTCTGCTCTGCACCTCCCTGCAGGTCCCCTGATATGTAATGTGCCCAATACATAGTGGCCAATTTGGAGAAGTTGGGGCTTTTGCCACAAGAGCTCTGATCTCTCAGACCCACAAATACCATGTGGCTTTTGTCTCTTTTCACTTATCTTTCACCATACACTCAAGGAGTTTGGGGATGGGCCAACCCATGATAATGGAGGAGATAGATCTCTTGACTCTGATGGAATCTGGAAGAAGAATTCCAGATCCTCCACTGCCTCCTCCTCACTGGCAAAACTGGGCAGATGCCACATGCCAGATCTTAAACTCAGCCCAAAGGAAGCTGGGCCAGAAGGTGTCACTGAATGTGACCTTGAAGGGTCTGATGCACAGGGCATGGGGGAGATTGTGACCATGGTAAGAGTATGAGCCTTAACCTTAATGGTACAGATACAGAGGAGCTGGCTAAAGAGCACAAGGAGGAGCTGACGGTGCTTGAACATGCTCAGCTCCAGAGTTAACAGCACGCAGCTTGCCACGAGCACTGCACAGAGGAAGAGGAGGGCAATGAGGTGATAAACTACACTATGGATATGCGTGGCCAGTGCTCCACCAGTGAGCTCTATCCCCAATCCATGACTGAATGCATTTTTATGAATTCCATTCAAGTAAAGTTTAATAAAATGCATGAAATACATTATGGAATACAGGAGAGACAGTTCAGCAGTAATCGATATGACATTAGAAGCAGTACGTGCTTAGAAGACCAGAATGACAGTCATTGCAGCATGGCCCTAGTATTAGATGAGTGCCACAATTGCTTGGTGGAGCAGCACCCCAACATACCTACATTGGACAGAACATTGACTGTCACAAATGATGAGGCCACTCATTTCTGGGCAATTCTGCAGTGCAGAATAAAACAAAGTGACATTGGTCATAACTTTCAACAAAATTGACACTGCAGCTGAGAGAAAAGGAATTCCTAAAAGAAAACCCTCCCAATGTCCTTGATGCTTTTATGAGATGACTCTCCCCAAACCTATGCCACCAGTAGCCTCCAAGTCAGTGTCCTATCCCTTCATACTATACTGTACATTGTTTCATATTTCTGTGGTTAAAAGATGTGTATAGTTCAGAACCTTATTTGTAGGAAGCCTGGATCCTAACTGTAATTACAGCCCAGCAACTACATGTTAATTCAAAAATTAAAATCCATTACCTCGGTCTCCCTGCAATATCTCAAAGGCCCCACATGGGCTGTCAGGGATGTAGTGGGTGGCGCCACGCTAACTCCCCCATCCACCTGGCAGTGCTATTGGCTGGGGAGCCCTGTGTCTCTGTCCTTTGAAAGCCACAAAGGAACAACACTAGGCCCCACATCATAGGTGGCGTATGCCGTGGTCCCTGGATTGACCCACAGGAAGCCCTGGGAGGCACCATCAAGGGGTGCTCCCTGGTTGCCCCCATAGGCTCCTGACATAGGTGGGCTTCCTGCTACCCCAAAGAGAAGGGGAGACAATGAGACAAAGCCTGGCCACTGCACTGCAGCCCCAGGGACCCCGGAGTTGCCGTCCCAGGGCACTGCAGAGGCCAGAGCCTCCCTAATTGGCCATGGGAGACCCTAGGTCCCCGTCTTGCCAGACACAGAGAATCCTCCCAGAGGACACTGTGCAAACACACAGCTTCCCATGCGGTCTACCTGCGGGGCCCAGAGGAGGCCCTCTCCTCTATGCCTGCACCAGACCAGGAAGCAGGACAGGACAGCCAGACTCAGGGCTGGCCATGCTGCTGGCCTCACACCTCTGCTCAGGGCCCAGAGTGCTGCGGTGGCACAGCGGGGACAGAGTCCTCGGCGTCCACCTAACCACACTTTGCACACAGCCGGCCCGGGCCCGCAGGCGCTGGGAGAGGAGCTGAGAGCTGTGTCCTGCCCAAGTCCTGAGAAGGTGAGAGCAGGCCTGCTGCCTGCCCGCTGCCAGGAGGGGAGGGGGCGTGAGCACAGCGGCGCAGCAGGGCTGCGCAGACAGTAGGGCTCGGGCGCTGTGCCTGCGGGGACACACTGACGCCTCTCCTGTCCGGGTCATCCCAGCCTCGGCTCCAGCTCAGCGTGAGCAGTGCCTGGATGCTTCTTGGGAAACAAGCTCAGTGGCTCTCGCTAAGCACAGGCTCCGACTGCCTGGGAGGGCTTCGGCCTCCATTTCCACAGTTTCCGGGGGAGGTGACGCTGCTGGCTGAGGACCACTGCGTCCACAGCCAGGCTGGAGGAACAGGACAGGAATTCCATCAAAGCGAGAACCGCCAAGCTCCCGAGCAGCACAGGCCTGCCTCATCCCTCCCTGTGCCCCCAGGAGGAGGCAGAGCCCTGCCAACCCACTGGGACCCCCACACAGCAGCATCCTGACCCCTTCTCTGACCACCAGAAGGGCAGGCCCGCTCTCAAGAACATTCCTGATCGTGGGGCTGAGGCAGACACAGGGAGGAGAACAGGACGGGAACGGGTGAGGGACTGGACAGAGCCCTCCAGTGTCTGCCATCCAAAGGGAAAGAGCAAGGCTCCTACAGCCCAGTGTGGAGGAGAGCAGGGGACAGCATGGTGGCGCCCAAGGGTGGGGCTCTTGCTCCTCCTGCTGGTCAGGGCACCAGCCCTGCTCTTTCTCACACAGCCAGGCTGAGCCCCAGCCTCCCCATACTGTGTAGCTTACAGGCTCAGCAAGAAGGCCCTGATAGTGTCCTATCTTCCCAGGAGGCAAGACAACATCAGCCTGAATGCCACTGCTGTTGAGAGTCAGGGCACAGCTGCTGGGGAGAGCTGGGCCTGGGTCAGTCAGGGGAGAGAGCAGAGACATCCGCCCAGCCTGGGGAGAGCTGGGCCTCACTGTGTCAGGCAAGGGTGCAGTGGGTCACCCCATTGGACACCAGTTGAGTAGGAGGCACGCACCACCATGTGTGCACATGTAGGAGTGAAGAGAAGCCTCAGGGAGTGGGGCAGAGGCCAAGAGGCCGGCACTTCTGCCCATAGCATGCTGGGTCCGGGAGCACAGCAGGAAGAAGCAGGCACAGGGGCCAGTGGTGTCTGCCACTGAACACCGCCTGGCTGTGGACTCCCCCTGTGTCCCCAGAGCAGGACTCCCTCTCCTACCTATAGGGTGTCAGCACAGACTCAAGATCTAAGTAAAGCAGAGACAATGTCCAATTTCAGGCACCACCTGGAAGGAGAACACAGGAGCTGGTGGCCTCCCAGTCTGCGGGAAGCCCAGTTCCTCAGGTTTCTATGCCACAGGAGCCATTTGACCTTGGGACCCAGAGTTCCTCTCTGCCCATGCTTCTTTCACCTTAGCACACAGCTGTCTGGTTTGGGGCCATGACAACCCATAGACCTGAGAACGTCTCAGCTGGTCCTTGGAGGGAGTTTGTGCTGGAAGGATTCCAGGGAGGTGTGAAGACCCAGGCCCTGCTCTTTGCTGTCTTCCTGGTCCTATACACTGTGACCATCCTGGGCAACCTCACCATGATAACAGTCATCACCCTGGACGCCCAGCTGCACTCCCCCATGTACTTCTTCCTCAAGAACCTGTCCTTCCTGGACATCTGCTACTCATCTGTTTTTGCTCCCAGATCACTGACTAACTTCTTCTCTTCCTCTAAAGTTATCAGTTTTGGAGGCTGTGTGACCCAGTTGTTTTTCTGGTCCTTTCTTGGTACCACTGAGGCTTTCCTATTGGCTGTGATGGCCTACGACCGCTTCATGGCCATCTGCAAGCCCTTGTCTTACCCTATGACCATGTCCCCCATGATGTGTGCCTGCCTTGTTCTCAGCTCCTACCTTGGAGGCTGCCTCAACTCCATCGTGCAGACCAGCCTCACATTCCAGCTCCCCTTCTGCCGCTCCAACCACATCAACCACTTCTTCTGTGACGTGTCCCCTCTGCTGCACCTGGCTTGTGCTGACACGACTCTCAATGAGCTGGTCATGTTTGGCATCTGTGGCTTCATTGCAGTGAGTGCTACAGTAATAGTCTTGGTGTCCTATGGCTATATCACGGTGACCGTCCTCAAGATGCGTTCAGGATCAAGGGGACAAAAGATCTTCTCCACCTGTGGCTCCCACCTCACAGCGGTGTGCCTGTTTTATGGAACCCTCATCGTCATCTATGCGCAGCCAGGGGATGTGGAGTCCACAGAGCAGGGCAAGGTGGTCTCCATCTTCTACACCCAGGTCATCCCGATGCTCAACCCCCTCATCTACAGTCTGCGGAACAGAGATGTGAAGAATGCCCTGAGGAGGCTGGGGCAGAGACGGGCGGCCCTGTGAAGGGCTGGTGGGTGAGAGACCTTGTTCTGGATGTACCACTTCCTTTCACAAAAGCAGTCTGTGTGAGACTGGAGTCACCCTTGTTCATTTATGATTTATCTTACTTCTCTATATCCTTCTCCCTGCATCTCTTCAGCCTGAAAGCATGGCATCAATCAGGTTTTTACCACATGTGAGTCTTTTCTACCACAGCAGTACCAGTCCAGGAACAGAGTAAACCTAAAAACCCTACCTTTTGGCAAACTTTGCACAGATGATGGATGGAGGAGCTCCTGACATGGGGGCCAATGTCACCATCTCCTAGCTCAGATAGAAGAATTTGGCCTTCAGAATGGCCTTTTCCTGTCTCCTTACCACTGAATCTAGTATCAGTCTGTCTAGAAAATCACACAGTGGGCATCCTAGAGTGGGACCTTTAGAAGCTGCTGTCATGACCCATCTCGGAAGGTGTGGGTTTCGGTGCCTAATGCAGGCAGATTGAGTGATGTGCTTCTCTCTCCCACAGTGTGCTGACTGCTGCCCACTTCTCTGTGCTCATGGCACCGCCTATCCTAAAGGGCAGCGCAGTGTCCCTGCTGTCACCCGAGACGCCCAGCACACACCTGGCTCCTGACATCTGCTCAGCCCCCACAAAGGCCCCAGTTCACACCACAAGGCTCCCTGGCCCCCACAGCCCTATCAGCCAGCCTGTTGCTCTTGATTGCAGCAAATGCTGCTGTCCTTCTGCAGAAGCACGTAGTTGACATGCTGGCGTGTTTAATACCGAGAAGAGTGGGGAAGGGATGGGGTCACTTTTGATGTCAAGTTCCTCTGAAGACCCTACTTTGTTCTGCACTGCCTGAGGGGTCAGATCCACAGCCAGGATAACTCTCCACACTCCACACCCATTCTCATGCTTAACACCCAGCCTCAAGTCCTCTTACTTCCTTCATGTGGGTCCATCTTCAAGAGCAGACTACTCAGTGGTCGATACCAGGGAGCTGTCCTCTTTACACAGGACAGTCTACGGAGACCCACCCTGGGTCTCTGATACCAGTCCTCAGTCTTCCTGCTCTCCATCCTCTGGACACCTATGGGAGAGAATGTAAGTGCTGCCACCCAGTTGTCTCTAAACGTTCTCTATATCTCCATCTCTTCTTTTCTACCCATCCTGTTCCAGCCTTGAGACCTTGAAGACATTGTTACTTTACATCTGATATCAAATTATTCTTTTCATTGGGAAGTCCCCCAGTTTCTGATCTAGACTGACAAATATTTTCTCTTATAGTGCCTTAACAATTGTCTCTCTTCTTCATTCATCTCCACCTCTATCTGTCTTTTGCATATCTGTATATGTGTATAGATAGCAACATACAAGGATATATCTATATCTATATATATATAGGCATATAAACATATAGATGTATATGATATATATCACAGAAATTTTTATTTTTCTTACATAAAAGTAGAATTATCCTAATTCTCCCACTCGGCATGTTGACTATTCACTCTTTTTATTTCATTTGTTTTGCAGATT